CTCAGCAAGTTTTTAAAAATATATTCTATTGAAATTGTAATTTTAAAAGATTGAAGCGTATTCAGTTGCGTAATCTTAATTTCGTTGAGTTAACTGTCGACACTTCATGTTTCGTGTCAGCGGCCACGATGTCGTTTACTTGAAAGAAAACAAGTTTATTTATGAATTTGAGTGAAATTTTTAACAAAGCGATTCAAAAGAGATTTGTTAACGCAGTTTTTAACAATAGAATTTAATCGATTCAGCAAAATTTAGTTTTTTCAATTTTTCTACATATTCAATAATTTATCAACGTATGTTTATACTTTGCTTTGATTTTGTCAACCTTGCTAATGAATTTCGTAAAATGTTTCTGTATCAGTTAAGAAAAATTGTGAAACACGACATTAAAACAAGAATGAATTTTAATTTCAGTTGTGTAAATGAAAATACTCGCCATGCAAATGCAAATTCACCAACCGAATGTACCGTGCAACCAATTTGTTTATGTATTATTAATACAATAAGATTATGACAGAAACATCGCATAAACAACGAGATCAGTGAATTGGATGAAGTTGTGAGGTTGTGCCAGCAACTTGAACGAACTCTGCAATGATTTATGACCTGAAATGAACGACTTCGATAACATTCAATTTATCAGCAGCTATTTCTGACTTGATATCTTCAAGTCTGCTGCAGTTTAAATTTTAGGATCTGTTAGATTTTCAAATTTTGTAGATTATGCTTAACAGACTATTTTTATTAATAACCAAAAAAGCAAGTTAGAATTTAGATAACTGTCGAATTTAATATAAAATACAAAATACTAGAAGCTACGATTAAGCAGCTGTAAAGTAATTAAATTAAGTTGAAACATTTGACTGATTATGATTAATTGTATAAAAATTATATTACAGCTTTTCAATTATTGCATTGCAATTTATAATATGAATTGATGAATGGAAGAATGAATTGATTGAACGAAAGAATGAATTGATGAACGAAAGAATGAATTGATGAATAAAAGGATGAATTGATGAATAGAAGAATGAAAAATTGGATAAAGCAATGAATGATTAAAAAAATTGTAGCAGTTACAAATGTTTAAATGATGAAATAATTAGAAAAATTATGATATAAACATATGATATAAAATTTATTTCTTATGATCTTATAAATTTCAAACAATTATTAATCCATGATATCATTGACAAGCAACTTTTTCCAACTGTCATAAACCCATTAACATGATCAAATGTTACATTCCTCATAATGATGAGGTTTTTAATTAATGAAATTTTTAGTTTAGAGAAAGCACTATCTCTTATTACGATTTGAAAAAACATATTTTTATTCTTTCTTACTTTTTTTGTGTAGGAAATTTTCATTTTTTGGAATGTGCAGTTTTTTTTATTAACATCAAACTACGATCCAGCGTTATTTATGCTCGCGTAAAAATACATCAGCCCGGTTTTTCCATTCATTCTCACAACGTTGCTTATTATTTTTGTAACGAATATTATCAAAATCTTTTATTAACATTGGTATTATTGTGGTTGCTATTGAGATTGCTACTAATTTCATATTGTTGTCTTATCTCATTTTTGTGCTTTGGTTAGCATACAAATAAATCTGTTTCCATGATCACATAAAAATGAATATACTTATATGTTTAGGGAGAGAAAGAGAGAGAGAGAGAGAGAGAGAGAGAAAGAGAGAGGGCAAGAAAGAGAGATAGAAATGTGACGTGATAGTGTTAAACATGACACTGATTAAAAGCGCTATTGAATAAACATCAACGATCAAAGGATTAATTTACAAAACGTACGAACGACAAGTGAACTAGGCATGAAATTAATTAAAATTATTCATGTATGTATGTTTGTCTGTTTGTGTGTGCGTGCGTGCGCGTGTGTGTGTTTGACTGTGTGTGAATGTGTCTATGCGTTGATTTACGCTTGTGTCAACTGCTGCTGGAAATACGTGCGGTGATTGTCGCATGTTTTTCCATACCTACGTGTTTGTGTGTATGTATATGTTTTGGTATATATCTATGCTTCAATGTGTATGTTTGTATAACCAAATGAAAGAGTTTTATTTAAAGAATTGTGTTTGTTACGAAACTATTCTTCATCGAAATTCAATTATTTTGAATTTGCAAATTAAAGGTCAATTAAAAATAAATGAGTTGTTTATTTCGTATTTAATAGTTTAACGTTACGTCAACAGTTTTTTTGTTTAAGGTTTTGTAGATTTATAATTTTTTTTTGTTATCATCATCTGATACTATCATTGTTATCATCATCTGATACTATCATTGTTATCACCATCTGATACTAACATTGTTATCATCATCTGATACTATCATTGTTATCACCATCTGATACTAACATTGTCATCACCATCTGATACTATCATTGTCATCACCATCTGATACTATCATTGTTATCACCATCTGATACTAACATTGTCATCACCATCTGATACTATCATTGTTATCACCATCTGATACTAACATTGTCATCACCATCTGATACTATCATTGTTATCACCATCTGATACTAACATTGTCTTCACCATCTGATACTATCATTGTCATCATCATCTGATACTATCATTGTCTTCACCATCTGATACTATCATTGTCTTCACCATCTGATACTATCATTGTTATCACCATCTGATACTATCATTGTCTTCACCATCTGATACTATCATTGTTATCACCATCTGATACTAACATTGTCTTCACCATCTGATACTATCATTGTTATCACCATCTGATACTATCATTGTCTTCACCATCTGATACTATCATTGTCTTCACCATCTGATACTATCATTGTTATCACCATCTGATACTATCATTGTCTTCACCATCTGATACTATCATTGTTATCACCATCTGATACTATCATTGTCTTCACCATCTGATACTATCATTGTTATCATCATCATCCGGCTATTGCGTCATTGCCCTCAACACATCATCACATTATTCCATCACCAGGTCATCGTCACCGTCATCATGGTGTGCGCGTCATTTACATCATCTTACATGTTCTCCAGATGAAAAATCTCTGTTTATTAAGGTCATCATTCTTTCTCGGTTCCGTATCTCACAACTTTCATTTTCATTTTCACTGAAGCATGCCAATCTCTTGTGTCTACTTACATTGCAAATTTTCAAAGATAATAAAAATGTTTTTGAATAAATTTCAAATAAGTTTTTGTACATGAATGATAAATAATTATTTGATAATGTTGCGATTAAACGTTTGTTGGCATGAATTTGAAGTTAAACAATAACACGAACGAAATTTAAAAGAAATGTAGTCATGAGTTGTTTATATTTTTGCATTATTACGTCTTCTGAGTTGTTTTTGTATGTAGGTTGAAAGTTGATGATTGATAGGCTGAATGGATGTTGTCTCTTTTTTTTTCTCTCTCTACTTTTTTTATTCTGCCATATGTGCTGTTGTAACTGAATGCTGATGGAAATCTTTTTGCAAATGTAGAAGTTTACCAGCAAAACTATTCTCCTCCTATTTATAGGATAAAAAATAAAAATTTCATTTTTTCAAAAAAAGTTGAGTAAAGGACGTTTTGAAACAAAAAAACAAAAACAAAAAAAACAAATATATTTGTTGGACGTTCCTCATACTTCCACTGAACAGATTAATAAATACTCAAGCTTGTTGTTGCACGGACGGGCATGGCTCTGTTTTGGTTTTGAGGAATTAATTATGTAGCATGCTGAACAATGAAACATACTAAATAATATTTCTCAATATAACTGTTTCGTATAAACAGTGAGATGTTTTAACTTCTTTTTCATAACGAAAACAACTTAAATATAAGAATAATATTTGAGAAACATCAAAACGGTCAAATTTCAGTTATGGAAAGAACTTTTGGTGAGTTTCATATCAGAAATAAATTTAAGAACTTTATATAATATATTCTATTATATTCTATATAATATACTCTATTATAATATTTGTCAATAATATTCTGAAAAATACACATTTTGACATTTTAAATAGCGATATCTCTCTTGAATACAAAAGTTTAGATTTTTTAAATTGAATTATAAGTTGGCTTTTGAGAACCTGATTTAGTTATCTTAAATATAAATTACAAATAAGTGAAATAAAGAGCATAATAATAAATGAATTAAAATAAAATTATCCATCTTTTGGTGTGCAAACCTAAAAATAATAAAAAAATAATAATAGAATAAAAAAATAATAAACAAAAAATAATGCCTTGTTTTTGTTATAACATATTTTGTTATAACATATTTTTTGTGAAAATTATTTTGATAAGAATGACGAGTGACTCCATTATAAAGGTGACGAAAAGGTGGATTTTCTGATAAAAATATCGTTAGTTGTCATTTCAAGATATATCCTCTCAAAAAAAGGGTACATAATTTGAATGGAAATAGTTTAAGTGCTGCTGCAAGATTACTTTTGTTTCCACGTTCATCAAGCTGATTCCAAGTTACAATTTATTACTGATTTTGTTTATATTGTCTCAAATTTCTATCATGACTGTGTTGTGTCGTTGTCTGTTCTATGTTTCTCATTGAGTGATTTTCCATTTCTGCTGTTTCGTTTTTCATGATTGCTACATTTGTTTTTTGATGCTTTGCAAATTTCTGCGATCTTTTTTTCAATTCTATTTTTCATATCATATCGTGAGAAATAAATCATAACACTATCATTTTCATTTTTATATGAGATGAAAAATTATATTAATTATTTTTGTTTGTTAAAAATAAAATTTCAAAATTTTTGACAGATATCCGTATCAAAAGGAAAGCAGTTTATAGTAACTTCAGACAGTAAAGTCTAAAATGGATATCATGAAAGTTTTTATTTGAGTTCTTCCATAATTATTGTCAAACAGTTCAAACAGAAAGCTTTTATACTACATCTGATAAATTAGACAAAAGGAAAGTTATAAAATTTTTCTTCTACTAGCAGCCAGCGATTGTAGTCAACTGCTTCTAAATGTGTACACCCCGACCTCTGGAGTGCAACAGCAGCAGTAGCAACAACAGCCACAAAAACAGCAGCAACATTGCGTTTCCAGAACATTACGCAGAGTCATACACATCACCGAATAATTGTGACATGAGCAATGTAGATCTGATTCTAGGAAATGTTAAATCGGAGTTCAAACAAGAGTTTAACATTAATGCTGATTATTTCGATGACGATATTACCAACAACACTTTCAATGACAACAACATTGGTTTCAACGGCATTTACAACAATTACACTTTCAAAGATCAAACTGATTTATCTTTTTTAGAATTGAACACGGAGGGCATTAATACCTTGAATACGAATCTTGCTGACAAAACGAACACCGGTTACAACGCTTGCTACTCGTCAACAAATTTGGATTGCAACGAATTTGATAGAAACAAAAACAATGAGAGATCAGACGGCAGCAACTGCAACAGCCACACGAACGCTAACGCCAGCGTCAAGACTGAAAACGACGTCGACGTCTGGTGGTCTTCCATTATTAATATCATTGATAAAAACAAATTTCAAAAAGATAACACTAGCAATGCCAATTTCAGTTGTAAAGAAGAAAAGCAAATTACTGACGCCGTCAACCGCAAAATCTGTGAAAACAACGCTGTAAAAACAAACAACACATTTCTGAACGTTCCACACTGCATGTCAGATTTTGAATACGATGTTGACGAGGGGTACGTTGATTATAGTTCCGCTTCCTCGTCCGGAGTTCTCTCCCCTGATTTAGATTTTGGTAAAATTTTAACTTTCAGCTGTAATAATAACAACAAAAACATCAATAAAATCAACAACGTTAACAATTCAGTTGCCTTCCAAATAAACAACAACCATTGCACCAATTTAAATGTTAATTCTCAAAATTCTTCAAACACTTCAAAATTGAATTTAACAGCAGAAAGTTACAAAGGTTGTCAAAATAAGTTCAGTGATATATTTGTCTACGACGACGTGATAGATGTAAAACCTGATTTTGGGCAGAGCGAAAGCAGCAGCAGCAGCAACAACAACGAAATTTCTCAAAACAGTATCACCAACACCACTGACAGCAACAAACTTTTTCCTTCATTGTTCATCATTGAACCATTCGGCCACGAAGGAAGTAACTCGAACACTCTCAATAAATGTCTCACGACAGCATCAATGGCGGCGTCCACATCATCAACAGTTATTAATTCTTCACAAGAAACAACACAGCAGTCAGAGTTTTCTGAACGTCATCAGATTACTCTGTCATGTTCTTCGCTGAACGATTTTGACGATTGCGGTCTATTCAGTCTTCCTTCGTCACCAGAACTTACAAACTATTTAAGCACCAACCAGCCATCTCTTTCATTTTCAAATTGGCCTCAATACAATATTTCTAACGACCAAACTCAAAAATATTTCGAGTCCTCTAATTTTTCTCCTTCAATAAATTTTGATTTAGAAACGGGTTGCTGCTCAAATTTCAACGAATATGATAATAACATGAGTGAAATTAACGACTATTTAGAAGATTTTGAAGATCAATCGTTTAACTGCGATGTGAAAATTGAAAAAGACTTGTATCAAAACAACATCTTTGATTACAAACGGGTACAAAACGACGACAAATCATGGTTCAACTCAATTGATTCTGATACCAAAATGGATATGACTAATGTGAACGCGGCAAATAATTCAATTAAAAGAAGAGTTTGGTCAGCTAGTTGTCTGATGCTGAACAGATCATCTCCCTTCGCTGCGGCAGACACGCAAAATGTTCTCGCTGATAAAACATCGAGTATCAGTTCCCCGGCCCAAGCAACAACAAACAACGTCAAAACGGCTGAAAATAAAAACGAATCAAGCAGCATCAGAAACGCAAACAGTTTCCAGAAAACTAAAACTTCAACGTGTTCTAGCAAAGAAGATCACGTATACGCGGCGAAACTACCAACTGCAGTCAAATCGAAAAAACGATGCTTCCCAAAAACATTTGAACAGGCCAGCAGCATTCAGTATAAGCAACCAAACTTTAACAGCAACAGTAATATTGCAGCACTGTCGTCAATAAAACACAAAACTCAGGCAAATGACAGCAACAATTTTAATAACGCATTTAAAAAGGATCAAACACATTCTCAGAGCACAAGCAGCGTGCTAGAAATTTTTCTAACATACAACAAAACGTTAGACCCAAACAAGGGTAGCAGCATCGTTCTTGCGGAGGAACTCAAAAGACTTGAAAAGTTGTCAACCGTCAAACACGATCGTCTGCTCGAGAAGTTGTTAACATCAGATGTTGCCAAGTGGCAGCCGTGAAGTTTCATCGAGTTTCCTTATTTTTTTCCAGCTCATCTTTTCAGGAAATCTTTTCGTGGGAATCCTTTTGTGTTGAGTTACAAATTTAAACTTATCAAAATTGTTGTACAGCAGTCATTTTCAATTAACTAGTTATAATTATTATTGCAAACGTAAGTTAAACCATGTTTTAGCACATATTTTTATTTCAACTAGACAGAACAGAATGAGCATGATCTGGTAAGGTTCAGGTTATAATTCAACAGGCTAATATCAGTTGTGACGGGAACGAATATTTGTTGCATGTGTGATGGCGGACCATATCCAGTAGAGCAGAGGGATGAATTAAGTTAAAAGCAGGTAAGTAGTTAAAGTGAAACAAGTCAGCAACAAAAAAGTTAATGAAAATAACAAAAAAATAATTATAAATAAATATATTGAATAAAAAATGAATATTTAGTTTTTAGAATGTTTTTAAAATAGTCTGAAAGTCGATGAATATTGCTTCTTTGGTTTTCAGCGAATTTTTTTTTTACAACTGTTCAAAACCAGCATTTAAGGAGTTATCTGTATTTAACGCTCATTTAAAATAAATTAATAAATAAAGATGAATGAACAAATATATTAAAGCATTGATAGATGCTAATAAGAATTTAAAATGAGCACTTTTAACGCAGCAGTTTTTAGTCATCTTCTCTTCTATGTTTGTAACACTTGTAACTAGTTGAAAGTTTCTGTTTCAGATCTTTAAAAAAATTATGTTTTAACTTTATTAAAATTATCATCCCATGGTCGTTATAATCATCTGCATAGTTAAGATGATGATGATGATGACTGTCAGCCATCACCAGCGGCGGATCCTGAATTTTGCGGTCTGGAAGAAATGGAAATTCTAAAGTGGTGACCTTTTTATGCTAATTTCAGTTTTGGTGGAGTATGATTTTCAAAATGTTAAGTCGATGAACTATTTCTTTTACACGAAATCATCAATATATTTTTCTTCTATTGTCTGGGGTGTTTCATCCCGCCAGACAATAGAAGAAGAAGAAGAAAATTATCACAAAGATTATAACATGGATCCGCTACTGGCCATCATTCCCATTATTAGGTTCATTCACCACCATCATTTTTCTCCTTATCAACATCCGGCATCTTTGTTGTAATTGTTTCAATGATTCACCAGCTGGTACAAGTTTTTTTTCGATAGGTTATATATATTATCTCAATTCAATTATTGTTAATCTTCGTCATTCAGAGTTTTATCGGATTTTCGGCAAGATTCATAAATTTAATTTAGATAATGTGTTAAGATTAAGATCACTAAATAAAATAAATAAATAAATAATTAACATCACCGTCATTATAAATTATCTTATCGTCATCTCATTGGTCAACGCAATTATCACATTCATCATCTTGGTCATCGTCCCTACAACAGCCACCATCGTGGCAAAAATCTCTATCACCATCGTCATCATCGTCGTCGTCACCATCATCGTCGAATATATTTAATTTACTTACATTTGATCCGTGTTAAATTGAATGAAATTTTTTAATTAGTTGTTCAATGGCGACACTCCACAGAATGGATAATTTGCAACAGTTTGTAAGCCAATCTTTTTTTCGATTTTTTTAAAGTTTGTTTTCCATTTTGAACTGACTGACTTGATGGCAATTGTGATAATATATTAAAATGCCTTACTAAACACCGATGAAATTAAATTTAACAGCCATGCAAATTATTTGTCGCCAATGTTCTAAAGTTGTGTTACAACATTAAAGTTTATGGGTTTTTATTAATTTATTTTTATTTCTAAGTTCAATTTTTTAAAGTTAAATTTAGTTCCAGTTTTCATTCACATTTTTTATTTGAGATGGATTCAAGTTAGGTAGTTAAGTTAAAAAGCCAACTTATACTTTGACTCAAATTAACTTATACTGTGTTATGAAAAAAAATGGCGAAACTTGTTTGCGGATAACTTTTTGTATTTCATTTGTGTATTTTAACTTTTAAATTTATTGAGAATGTTTTAAAACTATTTCAACAAATCACGAAATATTGAAACGCGATTGATTAAAGGAACTGCGCAACTCTACAATATGATATTGGCGAACTCATCATTCATGCTATGTTTATTACATTTAATGTCAAGTGTACTAATTAAAAGTTGGTTGATAGCAATGCTTTTGTGTTCAGTAGTTATTCGAAGGAGTAAGAATTTGTAAGATTATAGTTATTCATGTTATTCCTAGTAGATTTTTTTTGAGAAGTGTTTCAAGTTTAACTATTGTGAAAAACAATTTCATGTGATTAGATGTGATGCGTTGTAGTGTAGTAAAATGTGTGTGTATGTGTGTGTGTGTGTATGTGTCTGTGTGTGTTTGTGTGTGTGTGTGGAAATGTGTATGTGATTTATACGTTCCTACGTCAGTTAATTTTTTGTACAGACACTTACCTGTGTGAATATTCTTTAGATCATTATCATTATCGATTCCTTGATTACATATATGTTCGGAGAATGTTTTGTAACTGAAAGATTGAATAAAAAATTTAAAATGATGAATTTTTGTTTAAAGAAATTATACGAATTTATAATATATATATATATATATATATATATATATATATATATATATATAAAGAAAAAAAAACGATAAGATAACGAAAGAGCCCGACATATTTTCATATACCAGTAGCAGTACACCGCCGATTTATTAGCGGCTCCGAGCTGTCTCATGCAATCATTTTATCGGGCGAAACTTACAAGAAGCAGAAAGGACCAGGCTTATGTCGAAATCTAATTCTCTTTCTTAAGAATTATCTTTCTCTTTCTTAAAAATTACCTCTCTTTTATAAAAATTATCTCTTTTTAGAAAATTTATGTCTGCTTCTTAAAAATGTCTGGTTGTTACCAGCCAGTGTATTTTTCAAAGTGAATTAAATGTTGATAGATTCATTTTCCAGCCTTAACGATGTTAAAAAATTATGGAGTGTTTCAACGTGGCATCAAATGTTCTAACATCTTTGTGATTAGTAACTTTGGATTCAGTCTTATGATATTATTGCATTTCAGTAGATACTTTTTTTTAATTTATTCTAACTCCGAGGAACTGTTTAGATAGAGACCGATTATAATATTATAAACATTCACTTATTTTAGCTAATATACCGTTTTAGTAAAATTCATACCACAGAGTCGTTTTGGTTTTAAACTTTTCCATTCATACAAAACAACACTATCAGATGTTTGTTAATTTTTCCTACGTTAAAAGCACTGAAGTAAATGTAATAATTCACTTGGAAAGTATTGCAGGCAACAGAAAGACGTACACACGCACACACATCAGCTTTTAACAGAACCTTATCCACACATTCGTACGATGCAATCAACAGAAATGCCACAATCTCATATATGCACACATGCATATACCATATATATATATATATATATATATATATATATATATATATATATATATATATATATATATATATATATATATATATATATTCATCTCTCCTTATATTATACACATCCACACTTCTATTTTTGAGGAAGTTTTATATTTTTACATATTTTTGACTGTTTGTTGTTCTTATATCATCGTTATTTGCTCGAGAAATTAAAAAATCGGGACTTAAAAGTAAATTACTATTCTGCTTCTTTTGATTCAACGATGGTAACAGTTCATTCCATTGCGTCGCGACTCAAACCTGGTTTATAATATAACATTTCTTCGTATTAAAGTTGCTATAATATTCATTTTTCTTTGCAATCCAACTCTCTTTAATTGTAAGACAATATGATGAAGGGTTTTGAAACAGCAAATGAAAATAATTTCCAAGTCAATATAATTGCAGACGTTAGTACCAGTGAGACAGCTGCAGACATGAAGATTTCAGAAATTTAAATTCTGGCCACTTTAACACATGTTATGTCAATTTATGTTTAACACTTTTAGTTATTCACTATTCCGATTTGCCAAAATAGGCATAGTTGAAAAATTAGAATAAAAATCTCATTCACTATTCTTTGATGATTTATTGAAAATGCTTTAATGAATGTTGCAAACTATTGAGCCAAGTGTTGTTGACATTTCAACAGGCCATCAAAATATATTCAGAAATCTTATAAATGATAATCTTTACAATATTTACAATAGCATCAAAAAGCATTCAGAAAAAGCATTCAGAGCAATTGACTTGTGATGCAGTAAGTAATGCTTGAAAAGGTTTTAAGATTGCAATCACATCAAAAAAAAGAGGAATTTGCATTTACGATAGTGGGTGCACGCTGCGTGTGCGTATTATATTACAAATGGTTTGCAACATACATGCACACATTTTTTAAATTATTCCTTTAAAAACATTATTTTGACGTTTAATTGAAGTTCTTACGAAGCTACTACAAATAACCTTTAATTATTCATTATAAAAGCACTAATGCCTTACATAACTTTTTTGTATTGTATGCGTACTGCGTGTGTGTAACAATAAATCCAAGCTATGTGTTGTAAAAATAAAATCACGCTCAAATGTTAATATATGTACTTATGTATGTATTTATGTATGTATTTGTGTGTGTGTGTAATACGCTGATGCGCGTAATGTGGGTGCAAGAAAAAATAGAAGCGATAAACTTACGATGTTTTCTATCTATCCTACTTACAATTAAAATTATCCCCATCTAACTTACCTAAATAGTTACCTAATTTAATGTGTGTGTATTTGTGTTGAATGACACATTTCAAATAAATGAAAATAAAAATGGTAAAATAGAAAGAATGATTAAGACGTAGAGAGTATGACATGTATGAATAAAAAATATATATTACATACAATAAATAAAAAACACGCTAAAACCAGGAACCATCGCGTACCTGGTGAATGTATGGTGTGAAACAACGAAAAACACAAAACGAAAAAACACACCACCAAGTAGATTAAAAGAATAGAAGTTCATAGCCTACCTATGTAATTAAATTACCTTATGCCCTAACCTACCTATATAATAAATTAATCTCACCTACCTATTTTCATTAACATAACTTAAGACTCAAGAAGAAAGAGAAAAAGGAGTAAAACAGAACATAAAATACTACCACAGAAACAAACACAATGTATGTATGTATGTATGAGCAGCCGCTAAAGAACCTACATATAATAAAAAATATACAACATACAACCCACACAAAAATATGTGAACTCTATATAACTTTATCTATATAACCGCGCAACTCTATATAACTATATAACCGCGACAACTCTATATAACTCTATATAACCGCACAAACTCTATATAACTCTGTATAACCATGCAAACTACAACATTCAATAAATAAAAATCCCATTAAGCCATGTATCTGAATATATGATGTGAAACAAAACAAAAAAAAACAAAAAAAAACAAACCACCTGGTTGAGTAAAAGAATAGAAGTCCCTAACCTACCTATGTAACTAAATTATCTTATGCCCTAACTTACCTATATATTAAATTAATCTCACCTACCTATGTTTCATTAACTTAACTAAAACTCATGAAGAAAGAAAAAAAAGAGTAAAACAGAACATAAAATACTACCACAGAAACAAACATGATGTATGTATGTATGTATGAGCAATCGCTAAAGAACCCACCTATAATAAAAAAATACAACATATTACCAACCCGCAAACATTCAAACTCTATATAACTCTATACAACCTCGCAAACTCTATAGAACTCTACATAACCACGCAACCCTATATAACTTCATATAACTCTATATAACAATGCAAAATACAACATTCAATAAATAAAAATCCCACTTAAACCAGAAACCACCGCGTACCTGCTGAATGTGTGATGTGAAACAAGACAAACAAAAAACAAAAAACACACCACTAGGTAGAATAAAAGAATAGAAATCCCTAACCTACCTATGTAACTAAATTACCTTATGCCCTAGCCTACCTATATATTAAATTAATCTCACCTACCTATGTTTCATTAACTAAACTAAAACTCATGAAGAAAGAGAAATAGTGGTAAAACAGAACATAAATTACTACCACAAAAACAAACATGATGTATGTATGTATGTATGAGCAACCGCTAAAGAACCCACCTAAAATTAAAAAACACAACATACAACCCATACGCAAACATGCGAACTTTATATAACTCTATAAAACTCTATATAATTTTATATAACTCTATATAGTAAAATTACATAACACAAATAAATAAAGAAAATATAAAATAAAGAAATATAAAAATAACAAAAAATATAAAATAACAAAAAATATAATATAAAATAAATAAATAAAGAAATGAGACCAGGCGCTAAGACAATGGTACAAAGCGCCTGGTCTGAAATCAACATGTTCTCGGCTCCTATTTATACCAGTCCCATTCGTATCATTTCAATCATTGACATCAATAAAAAACTTTATTTAATGTATATGAATCATTATTATAGGTGCTTAAAAACAATATATTAACTATTCTAAAATGAATTCAGCGAACGCCTACTGACTTCCTGATGGGATAGTTCGAGAATGTGACGTTTTTATCTTGTAGAATTCAATTGTAATCGAGTCACTCCTATTTCACATAACAATTGAAAAATAAAAATATGTATTTTTTAAATTTCATTTTTTGTATATTATACTTACAATCAATTCAATCATTCACATCAGCAAAATAAATGTTTATGGATTTAATGTTATTGATTTTTGATTTTATGTAATTCACTTATGCTTATTTTTGCATTTTATAAGCGATGACGCTATGGGTCACTATCGACTCGTATTATGTAATGGTGTCTGTCAAATATGTCATGCATTTAAGGGTTAAACATAATTTGTTGAAAACGTACTGCCATTAACGTTAATGAGCTTTTTATTTAAATTTTTTGTTTACGAATTAATATTTTTTTTTATTTAAATCCAAATTAAAAATAAATTCATCAAGTTTAAAACGTTTCATAATCATGGAGAGTAATTTAAATTTAAATTGAAGCAATTATTCACGTAAATACAGGTTTGAAAGAAAAACAATCTCTTATATAGAAGTTGTTGTACAGAAACATTCGAATGCCATTGCACCGGTTGGTTGTTTGATCGCAGTGGTGAAATTTTATTTGACTACTACGTTGCTTTGTCGGTGGATGAGATTATGACCAATTTAGGAGACAATAAATACATAGTTGTATGTGAATGAATGAATGAATGAATGAATTATTTATTGGATGGATAGATAAATAAATGAATGAATGGGTGGATGAATGAATGAATGAACAAACGAACGAATAAATGAATGAACTAGCATAAGTCGTCAGCCAAAAAACATGTTAAAAAAATTCTTCTTCACAGTGTCAACGGGTCAAAAAATTTGCTATTTAAATACATAAGCGGCCAAATTGGTCAAAGGTCAAATTGTTCTTAATGCGGCCCTTCAAAAGTCAAATTGTTCTCAATGCGGCCCTTCAAAAGTCAAATTGTTCTCAATGCGGCCCTTCAAAAGTCAAATTGTTCTCAATGTGGCCCTTCAAAAGTCAAATTGTTCTCAATGCGGCCCTTCAAAAGTCAAATTGTTTTCAATGCGGCCCTTCAAAAGTCAAATTGTTCTCAATGCGGCCCTTCAAAAGTCAAATTGTTCTCAATGCGGCCCTTCAAAAGTCAAATTGTTCTCAATGCGGCCCTTCAAAAGTCAAATTGTTCTCAATGCGGCTCTTCAAAAGTCAAATTGTTCTCAATGCGGCCCTTCAAAAGTCAAATTGTTCTCAATGCGGCCCTTCAAAAGTCAAATTGTTCTCAATGCGGCCCTTCAAAAGTCAAATTGTTCTCAATGCGGCCCTTCAAAAGTCAAATTGTTCTCAATGCGGCCCTTCAAAAGTCAAATTGTTCTCAATGCGGCTTTCACAGTAAAAAGTTTGCCCACCTCTGATATAATTAAAAGTATTTGACATAACAATAATGAAAATTTTGTTATCAAGAGGCGAATAGGAAAATAAAAGCAGCAAAACATATGGATGTTCATTAATAACATTCATAATAACGTGACAACAACACACACTCACGCACACAACCACACACATACACTCACACACACACACAGGCCACAATTCGTTTTCATTTCTCAACATCATTCAAGTGCCAAACTTTGCCCTTCAACACATTCTCAAAAGTGGACAACCAGTGAATACATTAAACAGTTTGATTTAAATAAGGAAATTACATTGATAAAACTTTTGTAATTTTTAACTTCAACTTGCAAATGAAATTTTGAGATGGTAAACTTTAAAAATTTTTCAATAATTGCATTATTAGATATTTATTTACTTGTAATGATTTGATTGACCACTTTTTATTTCAGTACCACGTTGAGACGTTGAGATTAGGTTTTTTGAAATTCTTCACTGCAAATAACAACAAAATTTAGATCAAAATTTAGAGTAAAATTGAAGTTGAAATGAAAAGTATAGAATATTTTTAAAAACATTTTTAAACACTTACACCTTCTTCATCATAATCATCACTTCATCCTCATCATCCTGATCATCATCATCATCAAGTCATTACCATTTTAACCGTTTCTATTTATCTCAGATTACCATCCAATCACAATGGTTTCTGTCATTCAATACATTTGCCGGTCAATTGTTGACAAAATGAATAATTATACAATCGTAACTTTTTCCAGAAAATTTACTCACAGACCATGTATATTTGTTCGTTTGTATGTATGCATATATGTATATATTTTGGTTTGTATGTATGTATGTATGAATGTATGTATGTATGTATGTACATGTATGTATGCATGCATGCATGTATGTAGGTAGGTAGGTAGGTGCATATGTGCATGCTGCAGTTTGTTTGAACTGTTGATTAACGAATGAAAAAAAACCAAATGGAAAACATCTTTCTAGCATAACTTCGTATTATCCAGAACAATTTATCTTCCCAGCAGTACCTATCATTCCAAGTGCGGACAGGATAATTTTCATCATTTCAACGTTCATTAAATAATGCACATAATTATGCAACCGGTGAGTATTTACTTAAAACATAAATTGCACGAATAGAATGAGTTACTGAGAACTTATCTAACAGAAAAGATACACATTTGCAAATAAGTCAACTGCCTCTCATAACAGACGTTCGTTATTTTGAAACGTAAAAGATCAAATAGCAATACCGGCTAACCTATAAATTCATCTATAGAGTTCTATTATTATATGGGCAAACATCTGTTAATTTTCATCGAAAATAAATGAACGCACTAAACAAAACTAAATTAAAAATGTTGTACTAAAGCAGTAGAAAGTATAAAAATGAGTGAGTAAATTGCTTAGGATTCTTTTTTAAATATCACACATGGTTAACATTAGTCGCATCTCAATTTAGGTTTGCTTCTTAATTAGCGCTGGATATGCTCTTTGATAATTATAATAATGACATCCACGATAAATATAACTGTCCTGATGTTCTTTTCAAAATTGTCCTTTTTAAAATATTTTTCAAACAAACTTACTAAATTGTGAATCAGAGGAGGGTCTGTTTGAATGAAGTGTTAAATGAATATTTTAACATAACATGCGATGAAAAAACAAATAACGTTTTGATAAAAATCTGCTTGATTTGCTTGTTTCAATTTGATTGGCAGAAATCGTACAAGCTGATGCACTCATCGCATTTGACGGGAGACGAACTAATTTTTACTTATTTTCAATAACTGAAGTGACGACTGAGTGATTGAGTGATGATTATCTGTATAAAGTGACCATTGAAGACACTTGGACTGTTGTACAGTTGCAATCGCAGAATTTTGTATTTCGCCAAATGTTGAAAGAATTCATCGTTTAATATTATGAGATTAACGCTATTTAAATAGCAATCGTTGTTTGTTTGACAGTTTTAATCCGGGGCGTTTTTATAAAAATCATTCACAGACTTGTCTGGTAAAATCGATGCTTATTTCATCTAGCATAATACGCCATTCAAAATAACTGAAACATGTTCTTCAAACATGCTCTGTCATCTAACGAAAGATGTTTAATTCTTCAAAACTCTCAATCTTTTTGTGTAAATATTCTCACTTGTTTGAGATTTCAGCGATAAAAAAAATTAGTTAGACGTCTGGAAGACATATCATCAAAAATTAATTTGGAATGGTTAACCGCTTAAAAAATAGCAGAATATAACATTACGAATATATGAGCAATACAGAATAGCCGTTAGAAAATGTTTCCAAACACAAATGAAAAACAAATTTTTGTAAGTTAAAAGAAATAAATTGTTCAGCCGAGTCATCAGATGCAGGTACTTTTTTAATAATGAAGCGAGCATGCATTAGAAAGAACGATGCAATCAATCAAGCTCTGCGGAGACAACTACCCACATGTTAATCAAGGCACACAAATGTTATTTTTTAAAAAGTGGATGAATAATGAACATCTTCTCGCTTTTGTCGTCAATTTTTTTAATTTTCAGTAACTATTATTCTATCATGATACGTTGAGTCATGATAGATGAACACAATTTGTCATGCTGTAGTGTAATGTTCGGCGTTCATCAAGTTGATGAACATCACCTGCAGCACTACTGCGTTTGTTCTGCGTCGTATGAAACGTTCACATCTCTAATAAATCATTCCTGGGAAACTAAAGTTAATAAATGTGTTATTGGTTCATATTTTCAATAATAGCACTTATTATTATTTATTTATTCGTCCTAATTGCCGTTATTATTTTAAATTGTAATTTTTGAATTCTGCAATTCGTCATCCCCATCACTTCTTGTTAGACAATTTCTCACACATTTTAAAGTTCCAGGCAATTGTTGTGCTTGATATTTTATCTGTCAATAAGTCTTTTTTCAAGATTACACACACGTATAATGTAAATAAGCTTAATAGTGATAATTCAAAAAAATTGTTTGGTTATAACGTATTGACGAGTTCGTATTCTATAAACAATCCATAATTTGTTTTTTTATGTAAAAAATATTCACCTAATTATTATGAACACCAACCATTTTAAGCAGTAATAAACTGCTTTAATAATGAAAGGAACGTCTTTGATGTTTTCCAAGAGCACACAAACGGTCTCTAAGACATATTTCTTTCATAATTTAAAAAAAAAATTCATCTCTATCATTGTGATCATTATTTTCAATTTAAAGTTAACATATCCAATTTTGTATCTACTTTTTGCAGGTATAATATTTAACTTTTTTAAATATTACCTTAGCTATTTTTTAATAACTAGGTATATATTATTTTGAATTTTTTCAGGAAAATAAATAGAAATTTTCTGTACCTACTTTGTTTCGTCCCTTGATTGCATCCACGTTATCAGGCTCATGAATACACAGGAAAACTCTCAGATTGGAAACAGCTTGAATTCTACTTCATTATGAAATTTTGAATTTTAAAAATAATATGCTCTATGTTTAAACGTTTTACACGTGTATACGAAATTTTAACACTCTTCATGATTAAATTTTTTTTATAACATCTGAAAATAATATTCGCAATATACTATTTAAATAAAATCAAGTTTTTTTTCTAACGAAATTTTCTTATATTATGAAACATTCCCATCATGAGCCTTCAACAAATTTATAACTTTACTCTTGTCATCAATCATGTTATTATTACCATTATTGTTATTATTCTATCTTCAATCCTCTGTCATACTCTAGTTGATCAAGTTCCAATCGTTTTGACAAGCAGATCACGTACTTGAAATAAAACGTTCGGCTAATAAATGTGCAAATCCAACGAATGTGTCGGCTGGCTGGTTGGTCGGAAAGAAACTCCCCAATACAATAGCAGTAATATTCCAGACCATGTTACATTTTTTCACAACTCATTTTGGATGTGTTTGTGATTTTTAAACTGTTACAGAATTGCAAAATAACTGTTTTTGTGTGTGTTTATAATAATTTATTGAGGAGCGTGAGACAGCGAAAGCGTAAGAATGATTTGTGTTGAGAAAAGTAGTCAAGTCAAAATGTCCACATCAAAAACATTTGAAATTATACTCCAATATTTATAGAAAGAAATAATTATTAATGCAAAGTAGAGGAAAAAAATTTTTTCACACTCATTCTTACGTGCAGCATAAACACACACACACACCACACATACACACGCAAACACACAAAAATTAAAAAAATACAAACATTAAATATACCATAAAAACTCCGAATTCAGTTGACATGCACGCATAATAAAAGGAACGTATCATCGTCTTCTATGTTGTACGGTTATACGCACATTTTCGTGCGGACCAACACATGGATATTGTGTCAAGTATGTATATTGTATATTTATGTGATAGTATATCATTAGTTTATATATCATTTCAAGTATAAGTATGTGCATAACGACGAAAAGTTTATATGTGAATTTATGTGTAAACTGCAGTACATAGAGAACACTGAACATCACTTCTAAAGATCTGTTGGCGGAGTATGGTTGAGATTGAATGGCTTCAAATTTTTCATCCATGTTGGCTGTTTATTAATGTGGATAACTTAACCAATTACAAATTGTCATTTGTTAATTAATTTGTAATTATCATTAATTGAACCAATTAGTTTCAATTTATTCGCCATTAAATTGAATTACAATTTTTTTCACAAAATGTTGTTGGATTGAAATATAATTAAATTTTAGTGAATTTAAAATTTTATTTCAAGTATTTCTATTATATACGTACGTACAGTAAGTACATTTACAAGTAGAAATTAATGAATAAATAATTGAAATAGGGTAGCTTTCTAATTATCCTGAAAAGGATGTTGCTTGGTGTGACGCGTTGGAAATCAAGCTTAACGTTAAAAATTTAACAATTTTAAATCGAAATAATTTCTATATAATTTTTATTTATCTATTTATAATTCTATTCGTTGTGCGATAATATATTTTTGAATAGCAATTAGTATTTTTTGGTTTTAATCTTGGATTGATGTTTTGAAAATTCATCAAATTTGGAAGTCCAAAAAATGTTGGATACAATAAGAACCTCGACATCGCCATCCTCTGGGACATCAGCAACCACACCGGTGGACATTACGTTGACAACGACAGCAAATCCATCTGCTGGAAATTTAAAACCTTCATTTGCAAAACTCCAACAACCATTCCAACAAAAACCTCTGAAGCAGCAGCAACAGCAGTACAACCCACAA